GGAACTTATTGAAATTGAAGAGGAGAGGGAAGAAATCTTTACTAATTTGACAAGTTATTTATTCTTGGTGGGGTTTTTGTTGAAATTGCCGGGCAGTTGAAATTCTATGGGAGTGGTGAAAATTTATGTTGAAGGCATATTCACTCACCAAGCCACTGACCACCAGAAGGAGCTGCAGCTCAAACCCAAACCCAATGCTACCTGAAGGCATCCCACCTGAGAGGCTGTCATGGCTCCTAGGACCTGCTGGAATGGAGCTACCCTTCCTGGCCAACAGGGTACCACTTCCCAGCTCAGGTCCCTCTTCCACTGACCCATGTGACATGAGAACTTCAAAGCCTGGCAGTCAATAAATACTTGGGACCAAGCTCTGGTCTGGTGAAGTAATGACTCCTGAAGAATTGAATTGAATCTGGGAGCACTTAAGTGATAATCATGTGTATGAGTGTCAAAATTGCCAAAGATTTTTATTAAGAATCTGCTGAGGAAGGAGACTGAAGGAAGTAATTCCTCCATGTGAGAATGAACACTTTTGTAAATGAAAATGTAATTTTTAAAATGGGAGGCATTGATCATGCAGAGCAAAATATAGAATTTAAAATATGTAAATAAAATTTTACTTGGGGAACACATACAGTGGTGAAAAACAGAGAGGCTGGCAAGCCTTATCAATGACTGCAATTAACTAATATCCAAAACAGCAAAATTGAATCTGTTCTTAGACAACGGAACATCCAATATAACCCTTTAGTTATGACGCCTGCAGATAATTTGAGTCTACAAGGGCTTTCTAGCGAATCTCTTGTTCGTTGATCTACGTAGCTAAATTGTCATTGGAGGTATTTCTAAGTTCCTCAAACTTTAATGACCAAATAATCAATTAGTTTATTTTTATTAATTTACTTACTGTGGTGCTTATTCTTTTTTTCAAACCCATCATTTGTATTTTAACACTGGAACTAGCAGATTTTATGTGCTCCTGATTACAGTTGGCTTCTTCATCTGTTTTGTAAACTTACAGGTTTCCACTTGTTGCCCATTTTCAGTTGACATTGGTGTCCATTCACTCCATCTGGTCGTCATCTGTTGCTGCCTCACTGGCTTGCTGCTTAGATCTCTGAAAGCTTGCTCAATTCCTGAGTCCTGCAGTCAGTTTATAGGTTATAATTTGGTCTGTCTGGCTCCACCTTCACCAGTCAGCTAATTCTGAGGTTAGAAGGCTTAAAAGAAACCTGAACAAGTAATAAAGGGTGAGAGAAATGGTGCAATTTCGTTGGTTATTTGCAATTTAATAGAGAGAACAAAAGAAGCCCATTGAAAGAGTGTAGGAAGAGCAGAAAGAGAAATCCAGACTTGCAATTGCAAGAATTATGCTCAGATTAAATTTTTAATCCTTTTAGTTTTCCCTTTTCAAATAGTTAAATTGATAATTCAATATTGATTGTGCAAGCAATTAACATGTATAGACAGAGTAACTTAGCAAAGTGAATAACATTTAATACTTAAGAAAATGAGTAACAGGTTGTAAAGGCAGTTTAGTATAGATATTTTTAATTAATCTGTTCAAAACTAACTCCTGGTTCAGAAATAGGGCTACTACCACTCAGCCACAAGAGCCCTCCATTCAGTGTATCATTTTGATTCTGTACTAATTGTTTTTTTTAATTCACTTGTGGGATGTGGGTGTTGCTGGCTAGGCCAGCATTTATTGCACATCCCATTTATTGCCTGGTTTCCGATTATCAAATCGTAGTATCCATCAAGTATACATTGATGAGTTTAATACAAGAATAAACTCCTTAGCTGACAAAAAAAAACACTAATTCATCCATTAGAATAGCTATGTGCTGATTGTTAGAAATATTTCCAGATTGATAATACAGTATTCTTGTGAGTAATGTGATTAAGTCCTTTTCTTGTTTGCGAATGGTGACGCTTGCATTTGGGGTAGCACGGTCGCTCAGTGGTTAGCACTGCTGCCTCACAGCGCCATAACTCGGATTCAATTCCACCCTTGGGCGACTGTCTGTGTGGAGTTTGCACATTCTCCCTGTGTCTGCGTGAGTTTCCTTCGGGTGCTGCAGTTTCCTCCCATAGTCCAAGATGTGCAGGGTAGGTGGATTGGCTGTGCTGAGTTGCCCATTGTGCCCAGGGATGCTTAGGTTAGGTGGGTTAGACATGGGAAAATGCAGGGGTAGGGGAATGGATCTAGGTAGGATGCTCTTCGGAGGGGCAGTGTGGACTTTAGGATGAATGGCCTGTTGCCACACTGTAGGGATTCTATGATTCTATGATAATATCATGTACTTCAGGGCCTGGGTTGTCTGTTCCTCTCCAATCTTCTATTTGGTTGAATCCACCTTTATAAGTAAGATTATCTGTTTTGGCTAACTTGTGTCTTGTTTTCCTTGATCTCAGACAAATTGTACAGATATGTGGCACATTTATGTGTGATATGTCAGCATTGTGGCTGTTGAAGCTATAGAATTTGACATGCGTACAAATTAATAGTTGAAGAAAGCCACCTACTCTTGTACATGCTCTGCCATTCAATATGGTCATGGCTGATCTAATTGTAATCTCGAGACCATATTCCCACATTACCTCTGATATCCTTTCACTCTCTTTGTGGCAGTTGAATGTTGAAGTATTTTAAATGAGCAGTATTTTAAAGTGCGTTCACTAATTAAATCATAATCAACTATTTCCATACATATAAAATTAGTCTGTTTACTACTGACTTGCCTTTTTCTGCCTTGCATCTGCTGTTGTCCACTCATGTCATCCCACGGTCCTGTTCTCTACGGTTTCTGTCATTCTCTTCCAACAACAATTGAAATTGTCTTACTGCCTTTCTCTCAAAGCAACTGATTGATTTTTAAAAAAAGTATGTTTTTAGAAATCATAAGAGACTATTAGCAAAGTGTTATTTAAATATCCTAAATGCTGTTGATATTTATTTTTGAAGTTTTCTATAACACTTTCTGTGGGATTTACTGTCACTTGAGAGTTACCATGCTAAGCAGAAATAAGACATCCAACCATAGGCTTTTGGGAGATATTGAGACTTTTTAAGTAAAACTTCAATGAAGGTATTAAAGTATTTGACAAATTAGTGGATAAAATTGAATTGTGAGATTTGGATTTTTTAAATTTTCCTGAAAAATTTGAGGACATTAGAAATGAGTTCCCAAGTACTTTTTCACTCATTCGTGGGATATGGATGTCGCTGCCTGGCCAACATTTATTGCACATCACTCGTTGCCCTTGAGAAAACGGTGATGAGCTGCCTTCTTGAACCACTGCAGTCTATGTGTTGTGGGTTGTCCCACAATGCCATTGGGGAGGGAATTCCAGAAGTTTGACCCAGCGACAGTGAAGGAATGGCAGGATATTTCCGATTCAGGGTGCTGAATAACTTGGAAGGGAACTTGAAGGTGGTGATGTTCGTCTGCATCTGTTGCCCTGTCCTTCCAGATGAAAGTGATCGTGGGTTTGGAAAGTGCTATCAAAGGATCTTTGGTAAATTTCTGCATGTATCTTGCAAATAGTGTACACTGCAGCTACTCAGTGTTGGTGGTGGCAGAATTGGATGTTTATGTATATTGTACCAGTCAAGTGGGAAGCTTTGTGCTGGATGGTATCAAGCTTCTTGAATGTTGTTGGAGCTGCACCCATCCAGGTAAGTGGTAAGTATTCATCACACTCCTAACTTGTTAATGATGGACAGGCTTTGAGGATCAGGAGGTGAGCTACTCGCTGCAGTATTCCGAGCCTCTGACTTGTTCTTGTAGCCACTGTGTTTATGTGGAAAGTCCAATTGAGTTTCTGGTCAATGGTAACCCCAAAGATGTTGATAGAGGTGCATTTAGTGATGGTAACACCACTGAAGGTCAAGATGTGGTGGTTAGATTGTATCTTATTAGAGATGGTAATTGCCTGGCTTTTGTGTGGCACGAATGTTGCTTATCACCTGTCAGCCCAAACCTGGATATTGTCTAGATCCTGTTGCATTTGAACATGGACTGCTTCAGTATCTGAGGGCTCGCAAACAGTGCTGAACATTGTGCAGTCATTGGTGAACATCCCACTTCTGGCCTTATGATGGAAAGACTGATGAAGCAGCTGAAGATGCTTGAGTCTAGGACACTACACTGAGGAACTCCTGCAGAGATGTCCTGAAGTGGAGATGACTGATCTCTAGCAACCATAACCATTTTCCTATGTTCCAGGTATGTCTCCAAGCAGAGGAGAATTTGCCCCGATACCCATTTATCCCAGTTTTGGATCCTTGACATGACACTTGGTTGATTGCAACCTTGAAGTGAAAAGCTGAGTGGCCATGGCGGAACCCAGACTGGGAGTCACTGAGCAGGTGCTGTTTGATAGCACTGTTGATGACACCTTCCGTCATTTTACTGATGATCGGGAGTAGTAATTGGCCAGGTTGAATTTGTCCTGCTTCTTGTGTGCAGGAAAGACCTGGGCGATTCTCTCCATTGTTGGGTAGATGCCAGTGTTGCAACTTTACTTGGAAGTGCTTGGCTATGAAACAGCAGGTTCTGAAGCACAAGTCTGTTTCTGGGATGTTGTAACAGCCTATAGTCTTTGCAGTATCCAGTGTCTCCAACTGTTTCTTGCTATCATGTGTAATGAGTCAAATTGGCTGAAGACTGGTATCTAGAATCTGGGGACCACTGGAAGAGGTCAAGTTGGATTATTTACTTGACACTGGCTGAAGATTGTGAATGCTTCAGCCTTATCTTTTGCATTGATGTATTGACAATGCGTATAATTGTGGAAAATGGCAGAAAAGAGTTGATTTTTTTTTCGAATTTGTTCATTAATAGTTTTCCTTTATGAATTGCTGATATTTCCATTGAGACGTGTTAAGAGTTTTCTTTTCCAAAGGATGCCACATGAAATGAAGGTGATGTATGCAGGATGCATGCATATGACATATGTAATAAATTAATTGCAATGTTATTTCAATTCTTTAGCCTGAGCCTCCCAAAAAACCCTCAAACTGGAGAATGAAACATGAGAATTTCATTGCCACCATCAGAGCAGCCAAAAAAATGAGTCAAACAGTGAAGGATGGAGGTTCCCTTCCGCCACCACCTCCGCCTTTATATGATCCAGGTATGGCATGCACGAATAGAATTTTTACTGTCTTAGTCTGATGGATATTTGGTCCATTATAATTTGAAAACAAAAATCCATGATGTTTAATTGTTTGATCTGCAATGTTAATATAGATGCTTTTAAAAATTTTAATAAGTCGATGAATCCAATTGGTATAATGTTGGTGCAATTTAATATTTTTTTCTTCATTGATCTGCCTGCGGTGCTGAGTGTTGTACTGTAATTTTTTTATTTCTGATTTCAAAATGTGCAATATTTGGCAATTGTTCCACTGTTTCATGCAGTCAAAGGAAGGCTAGTTAAGCTTTTGAGGGAGAAGCGAATAATCCATTGTAGCATTTAAGTGTACTCAAGACTGAGACAGGTTGCAAATCATGAAGCAAGTTAAAGGTTATGGTGATAATGCAGGAAATTGGAGTTGAGGATTATCAGATCAGCCATGACCTTATTGAATGGCAGAATGGACTCAATGGGCTGAACGCCTCCTTCTGCTCCCAATGTCTTAGTCATAAAAACATAAGTGTGGAAACAGACCCTTTGGTCCAACCAGTCCATATTGACCCTAATCCCAAACTAAACTAGTTCCACCTGCCTGTGCTTGGCCCATTTCCCTCCTGTTCAGAGATGTTAGTTCACACCTCTGGAGTAGGTGGAATTTCAATCCAGGCCTCCTGGCCCAAAGATAGGCACACTACCACTATGTAAAAAGAGCCCTTGCGTTCCTCAGCATAGTGTCCTTGGCCTAACCATCTTCAGCTGCTTCATCAATGGTCACTTTATGGTCAGAAGTGGGAATGGTTGCTGATGATGTGCAATGTTCAACACCATTAACAATCCCTCAGATTTTGAAGCAGTCTGAGTGGAAGTGCAGCAAAACTTGGACAATATCGAGGCTTGGAGTTGAAACATGTCAATTAATGTTCAAGCCACACAAATGCAACAAGAGAGAAGCTAACCATCGTCCCATTATTGTCACTGAATCCACAACTATCAACATTCTGGGGGTCACCATTGACCAGAAACTTAACTGGACTGGCCGTATAAATACAGTGGCTACAAGAACAGGTCAGAGGCTAGGAACACTACAGTGAGTAACTCATTCCTGACTCCCCAGAGCCAGTCCACCACCTAGGTGCAAGTCAGGAGTATTGTGAAATACTTGCCACTTGCCTGGAGGAGTGCAGCTCAAATAACAGCCAAGAAGCTTGACACCATCCAAGACAAAGCAGCCCACGTGATTGGCATTACATACACAAATAACAACTCCCTCCATCACCGATGCTCAGTCACGGCACTGTGTACCATACACAGGAAGCACTGCAGAAATTCACTGAGGATCCTCAGACAGCACCTTCCAAACCCACGACCACTAACCACCTAGAAATGCCAAGTCACCATGTGTTTGGGAACACTATCACCTGCAAGGTTCTCTCCAAGTTACTCACCATCTTGACCTGGAAATATATCATTGTTGCTTCAGTACCACTGGAACAAACTCCTGGGAACTCCTTCCCTAACGGCATTGTGGGTGTACTTGCAGCACATAGACTGCAGCAATTCATGAAAGCATCTCACCATTACCTTGGGATGGATGATAAATCCTGGTCCAACTAGTGAATCTTGCATCTTATGAATGAATTTTTAAAACGTTTCAAGGGTCAGATATCTTGTTCAAAATGAATGATCTGTATTAGATACAAGGAGAAATGAATGATGGTAGTAGTTCTACAGTACAGTGTTTGAGCAGTCATTTATGTAGGGCTGCTGTTACGTTAAATTCAAATTGAACTTAAAATTCCATTTGAACGTTGCTATGCTCAATGTGATTTTAAAGTCAACACACTTGTTATTGCTAACAGCTGCAATTCATTGATAAATATTGACCAGCTCTACACAATTGTTCTAGCAGTGTAATTTTCTTGTCTAAGTTGAGGATTACAGTTTAATCAGTGACTCTGGCTGCGTAGTTCAGCTTTGTAGCTAGCCAGTGTGCTCAAGCACACTCAATGAGGTTAAGCAACTTTTCTACAAATGCAAGCCTGCAATCAACAATCACTTTGGTTAGATGATTTGATAACAAATATGTAGAACAGTACTTAATTCAATAGAAGTAACTGCATACAGATTCAATAGGGATTATAGGGGATTTTTATGATGCAATGCTAAAGGTCCCACCTGTTCCAGAGATGTGTTATAACACAACTGAACAGGTTGATTAAAAATATTTACAATAGGAATTACCAAGTTTAAACTATAGTTCATGATGCAGACACTAGATTTATGCATGACATCTTTAAGTATAAAGGGATAGTAAGAACTGCAGATGCTGGAGTCAGAGATAACACAGTGTAGAGCTGAAGGAACACAGCAGGCCAGGCAGAATCAGAGGAGCAGGAAAGTTGATGTTTCGGGTCGGGACCCTTCTTCAGAAATGGGGAGGGGGAGGGGAGCTCAGAAATAAATAGAGAGAGGAGGAGTGGGGCTGGGAAAGGTAGGTGGGATGGTGATAAGTGAGTGCAGGTAGGCAATGGTGGGGATTAATCAATGAGGTGGGAAGAGCGGATAAGTGAGAGAGAAGGTGGACAGGTTGTCTCAGGTTAAGGAGGCAGGGATGAGACGGAGAGTTGGTCATGAGATGAGGCCAGGGTTGGGGAGATTTTGAAACTGGTAAAACCCACATTTAGGCCACTACGCTGCAGGCTCCCAAGGCAGAATATGAGGTACTGTTCCTCCAGTTTGCGGGTGGTGTCATTGTGACACTGGAGGAGGCCCAAGATTGACATGTTACCCAGGGAGTGGGAAGGGGAGTTAAAATGTTTCGCGACCGGAGGGTGTTGTCGTTTGTCGTGAACAGAATTTGACCTGACACAACCTGTCCATCTTCTCTCCCACCTATCTGCCCCGCCCACATCACTGACCAACCCCCACCACTCCCTACCTGCACTCACCTATCACCATCCCACCTACCTTCTTCAGCCCCAGCCCTCCTCTCTCTATTTATTTCTGAGCTCCATTCCCACTCCCCGCATTTCTGAAGAAGGGTCCCAACCCGAAACGTCAGCTTTCCTGCTCCTCTGATGCTGCTTAGCCTGCTGTGTTCCTTAAGTATAAAGGGATTCTTTTTGCTTTGCTATACAGCTTCACACACTGCTGTCCCCATTCTCAAATGCACTGAGCTATTCCTTATGCATACTAGTTTGTTATATGTGGCATTTAATGTTCCATGCTCCTGACCACAAGGTGACATCATTTGTGTCCTTTTCAAAAGGCCATGTTGGATCTCCCTGGTCAACGACCTGGTCCCTTCCACAATCGCGGTTGCCGTACATTTTAGCAGTATTGCAATTTTCATGGTCCTGTGAAAAAAGAAAATGACGCCAGTCATCGACTGTTAGTCCCTAGTATTCTTTGTGTACTCATACTCCTTGATCTGTATCCAGTGTTTCCACAGGCCTTTCCCTTCCAAATACTCGCTTGAAAGTATCAGTGGTCACCACAACTTCATAAGGTCCTTGCCAGCAAAGTACTAAGTCTGGTTTTGTAAGGAGGACCTAATTATTTCTTGATCTTCTTCAAGCCAAATTTTAAAATTACAGATTCAATCATAAATGGCATGCAGACACAAGTAAGTCTATTTGTTCCACACAAACAGAAAAGAATACCATATGCTCTTAAAGGAAAGAAAACAGAAAGAAATCAATTGTAACACACTAAACAATAAACTGTTTCAGAAATACCGACAAAACAAATCATAAGGGGCGAAATAAGCACTGGTCTGAAGCAACTGAAAAACTGCTTGCCAGTGTGTCTCTTTTTCCAGTCTCTCTCTCTTGCTTCAGCCTGTCAGTCTCTTTCTTTCGCTCTTCAATCACTGCAGAACAGAATAAATAAATTGTTTCAACACAGTGCTATAAATTCAGCAGAAGCCTTTCACAGTCAGTCTTTGGCAAGGATTCTGATTTTAATTTTATCCCAGGTGCCTTGAGCCATTTTCTATTTCTTCAGTAGGGCTGAGCATCCCCTGAGCATAGGATGCCCAACAACAACTTACATTCTTTTGTCTCATAAAAAGTGTGGAGTCCCACCTTTTGATCAAACTGCAAAGTGAACATTTGGCCCTTACCATTGTGTTAGCTTCCCCATCCCTAAGGCTACTGTCTCCAGTTCCTGAATGTCACTATAAATTCCCTTCTAACACTACGAAAATTCAGTCATCTTGACGTAGAAAAACAGGATGCTGGAAGAACACATCAGCAGGCAGCATATGGAGGAAAGAAGCAATCAACATTTCAGGTATTACCCTTTTTCAGGACTGGATGTGGAGTTATGGGGAGCTGCAGATAAAGGGAAGGGGGAGGGAGGGGTGGAGGCGGCATGGTGGTGATAGGTGGACACTGGTGGTAGGTACGACCTGATTGGTCAATGGAAGGGATGAATCCAGTCGGTGGCTGGAAGGGAAGGTCAGAAGGTAGAGTGGAAGGGAGGATATGGGGCTGGAAGGGAAGCCAGGAGATGGGTGGGAGGGTTATTTGAAATTGGAGAACTCAATGTTCAGTCCTCCCAGGCAGAAGATAAATTTTTGTTCTTCAGTTTGTGTTCCGAGTCGCTACGATACTGGAGGAGACCGAGGACAGACATGTCGGAGGGGGAGTGGGGTGGGGAGTTGAAATGGGCAGTGACCGGGAGATTGGGTTGGCTGTTACAGGCCAGGTGGAGATGCTCGGCAAAATAGTCACCTGGTCTACATTTGGTCTCACCGACATAGAGAAGACCACATCAGGAGCACCGGATGCAGTAGACTAGGTTCGAGGAGACGCAGGTGAAGCTCTGTCTCACCTGGAAGGACTGTTTAGGGGCCCCAGCTGGAGGTGAGGGCAGTGGTGTGTGGGCAGGTGTTGCATCTTTAACGGTTACAGGGGAAGGGGCGGGGGGGGGGGGGTGTGGGGGGGGGGGGGGGTGGAGGGTGGTTGGAGTTGTTGGTGAAGAGTGTGGTGCTA